AAGGCAGCTGTGGGGATAGAGTGGGGGATGGGCCCGCTGCAGCACAGGGTCTCTGGTTAGGGAGGACGGAAGATCAGCTACTCGGGGTCAGGGCCGCCGGGGGGGGGGGGAAGTGGGGCAATTTGCCCCAGGCTCCGGGCCCCACAGGGGCCCCCATGAGAATATAGTATTCTATAGTATTGCAACTTTTTTTTTAAGTTGAAGGGGCCCCCGAAATTGCTTTGCCCCAGGCCCCCTGAATCCTCTGGGCAACCCTGCTTGGGGTCTCCAAGAGTCCACGTGTCCCACTCTGGAGCCATGGGGCTGCTGGTCACAGACGGGCTGGCCAGCGTCCGCCAGGCCGGACTCGCACGCAGTGGAGCGTGGCCTGCTGTATATTAGTAGCACCATCACACCAGGGAGCCCAGGCGGGGAGCAGGCCCCAGCGCGCTAGGCGCTGTACGGACACAGGGCAAGGAGCCAGGCCCTGCCCCCAGGAGCTGCCAGTCTAAGTACAAGCCTATGGCTCCAGCCAGGCGGGCAGGAGAAGGGATCCCGGAGACAGCGCTGGTCAGCGTCAGGGCCAGTGGTCCCAGCTCCAGCGTTTGCAGGTGCCGCAGCCCAGGCGGGATCTGACGGGGGAGAAGGCGGCTGGCGGCTGTTCATAGGGAGCTTCTCTCAGGCGTGGGGGCAGCAGGGACCCAGCACAAGGGCACCTGTTTGAAAACCTGCCAAGTGGGCGACACAGGCCGGCCTCGGGGCCTGGTCTCCACCCGGTGCCCTCAAAGCCTCCTGGCCTTCCGGTAGCGCTTCACCAGCCCAGCCAGCTTCTCCAGCGCCTCGGGCAGCCCCTGCCCGCTCACAGCACGGCAGCCCTGTGCATGCCACTCGCGCCCACGCTGCTGCCTCAAGCCCAGCTCCTCCGCCAGCTCCACGCAGGACCGGGCACCGGGCAGCAGCACCCGCAGTGCCCCCTGCAAGTCCTCAGCCTCCAGCAGGCCCCCAGCCCCGATCTGGGCCCCGTCCACCACCACCACCAGCCCGTCCGTGTCTCCACAGGGCCCGGATCCGGTCCTGGCCCCCCACGTCCCACAGGGTGAAGGGCCCGTGGCGGACGGCGCCACCGTCTCCACATGGAAGCCCAGGATGGGGATGGGGCTGAGCGTCTCCTTCAGCTTCAGCCGGTGGTGGTGGTGGTTAATTCCCGGCCTTGTCCGGCCCCACCCGCAGGATCCGAACCCGCAGCCCGGAGAAACTGCCCAGCGCGGCCCGCGGCCCGCCCAGCAGCGACCCCGCTGCCCACACGCGCTGCCTGGCCCGCGGGCCTCGAATCCCCCCGGCCTCGCCTCCCATTGGCTGGCGGCTCCGGCGGGGGCGTGGCCGGGGGAAGCCCAGGAACCTCTGACACGCCGGGCCAGGCAGCGCGGCAGCCAATCAGAGCGCGGCCCAGGAGGCCCCCGGGGCAATCCCCTGGCACATCAGCGGGGCCTTGCTGTCAAACGGATCCGCCTCTGGCGCTCCCCCATAGGCCCGCAATGGGCCGGTTGGGGGGATCAGACAGGAATCATGTTGTTTAACTGGTGATGTGCTTGAGACGTGCCAGCACATTGACCCAGCCCTGCCATGGAGCTACCAGATACCAACCAGCCTCCAACAGGGAGACACTAACCCAGGCCTGTTGCCAGGTGCTGTCCCCATGTCCCAGGGGTGCAGCCCTACAGGGCCCTGGGTGCCGGGGATGAGCTGTGGAGATGCCGTTACCACACGACCTGCCAGTGTCACAGGCCGCAGGAAATATCCCGAAATCAAACGCGAGTCGGGCCTCAAGCGGCATTTTTCTTACTTTGCCCACCTGTAATGTTCCAGTATCTGGGTGGAGTTCTTTTCCTGTCGGTTCGGGTGTGTAGGTGACTGACAATTACCAGCATTTGCCAATAACGCGCTCATCTTTCCAAGCTGTCCATCCTAGCTGGGTTGTACCGCTCTCATCACAGGTGTGTCTGAGCACCCACCCAGCGTGTCACAGTCCCAAGGGTCTGTGCCTGCAGCAGGTCCAGAGTAGGGTGCAGATCGGGGCAGGGCAGGGTGAACTGTGCTCTGGCTATTCTGAGCTACTCAGGGCCCCCAGGGAGCAGAAGGTAAGTTAGCGCAGCCCCAGTGTAGGCGCAGAGTAACTGAGAACCAAGGAATTTATCTCTGACCTGGGTCAAATCCCGGCCCCCAGCTTTCAGAGCCCCGGGCTGTAGCACCCCGAACTGGGACACTTCCCCCAATTCTGGGTGAGGAGATTTGGTGTTTGGACTCTGCCTGTTCTGGAGAGAGCTCTGGCTGCCAACTCAGCTCCCAGCCTGTCCCTGGGTTTGGGCCAGACCTGGCCCTAGTGTGTAGGGAGCGAGCTTTGGGGTATGTCAGGGGGCAGGAGCTGTGCAGGGTGGAGTCAGAGAGGGTTCAGTACTCTCAGGGGGCTCTGTGTGTCCCATGTGCTCAGAGGGCATCCATGCAGGATGTGCTGTAGGCAAGGACCACCTACATAGGCCAAAGGGCCATCGGGGTTGAGATTGCAGGGCCTCTTAGAGAGCATGGGGGGCAGGGGGAGACAGTGCTCGCTGGATGGCAGCTGGAAAGAACCTCATAGCTCAGCCCCCATGGGGAGGGGAGAACAAGCAACAGGAACTGAGCCCTGAAAGCAGGGGGCGAGGGCTGAGCATGCCGAGGGTCAGGCCTGGGGAGAGTCAATCCCAGGTGAGATGGGGGGTCCTGGGTCGGGCTCTCATCTGGTCCAAGCCCCAGAGCCAGGCAGGCCTGATGGGGTGAAGGGCTGGGGAGCCTGGAGGTTCCTGGGGCCAGAGCTGTCCTGCTCTGCACATTGACTCCCCTTCTACACTGGGCAGGGTGGGTTTTCTCCAGCTCAGTGCTGGGGAGAGGGGCCAGCAGCACCAGAGACTGAATCCCCCCTTTGTCCCCAGAGCAGGGAGGGGGGCAGCAACCCCGTCCACCCCCTCCCCATGCTTGGAGGGACCCTTTCCCTCTGGGGTGTGAGTCCCCAGGGCCCATTCTGCCTGCAGGCTCTTGGCTAAGGATGCCCACAAGGGGGTGATTAGTGCCAATCGGGGTGGTGCCATTGGCAATGTGGGCCTGAGACCCAACAAACTCAGTTCACTCAGAGCCCTCCACTGAGCACCTGCTGTTAACCCTTTGCTGTGCTCTTTGGGATGCCCCCGGGGAGGGGGCTGCTGCAAGGACCCAGCACAGCCACAAAAGCTGTCTGTGGCATGGCCGGATACCGGGAATGGAGCATGCTCTGTGTTTGTGTTTGTGTGTGATCAGATGCCATGCGGCGTGATCCCATAAAGCAATGGTTCTCAACCGGGGTCCGTGACCCCCTGGTAGGCCTGGGACCTAATCCACAAGCCGCAAGCCATTGGAGGGGGTCCCCAAGCTCAACACCCCTTGGGGCAGAAGTCCCGGGAGCCCAGCACCCTGTGGGGCAGAAGCCCCGGGTATGGGCATGGGAGGCAATAGCCCCCCAAACGGCACGCCCGAGGCAGGCAGCCTGAGTGTGCAATGCAATGAATTGTGCAGAGGAGACAAGAGATGAGCTGCTCCCAGCTTGCGCCCCTGAGGCAGGGAGTCCGAATTTCGTTTATAAACAGGGGGATTACCGGGGGATTAAGATAAGAAAGGGCTGGTAGGAGGTTTCCTAAATGTAAACGCTCCGTTCCAAGCTTGGTGAACTGCAAAAACAAAGTTCAAAAAAATAGTTGTATAAAAGATAGAAAGTAAGTGTAGATTTTTCTACAGTTGTTTCAGTTGCTGGATTCAAGAGGTGGTAACCAAGTTATTAAGTATCCGAGGGGAGCCCTGTTAGTCTGGATCTGTAAAAAGCAACGAGTCCTGGGGCACCTTAGAGACTAACCGATGTATTGGAGCATAAGCTTTCGTGGGTGAATCCCCACTTCGTCACGAAAGCTCATGCTCCAATACATCGGTTAGTCTTTAAGGTGCCACAGGACCCTCTGTTGCTTTTTAAAGTTATGAATATCTTTCTTTGAGCAGAGAACTGATTTTTTTAGACAGGAAATGCAGTGGATCTAATCTGCCTGGATGTCAGGAAGGCATTTGATACAGTTCCACATGAGAAATTATTAGTTACATTGGAGAAGATGAGGATTAATATGAGCCCTGAAAAGTGGATAAGGATCTGGTTGAAAGGGAGACTACAATGGATCATACTGAAAGGTGAACTGTCAGACTGGAGGGAGGTAACTAGTGGAGTTCCTTAGGGATCGGTCTTGGGACCAACCTTATTTAACATTTTTATTACTGACCTTGGCATGAAAAGTGGGAGTGTGCTAATAACATTTACAGATGACACAAAGTGGGGAGTGTCACGGAGTGTGGGGGAACTCAGGGCTCTGCACCCCCGGCTTCCTGCGATTCACCATGACTCTCAGCCAGCCAGTAAAGCAGAAGGTTTATTTGGATGACAGGAATACAGTCCAAGACAGGTCTTGCAGGCACAGACAACAGGACCCCCCTCAGTTAGGTCCATCTTGGGGTCCCAGGGCATCCCAGCCCCCCTTGGGAGGTCAGAGCCATCTCTGCCTCCCAGCCATCTCACCAGCCAGCTTCCAAAACTCTGCCTTCAGCGACCCCTCCCACAGCCTTTTTTCAGTTTCCCGGGCCAAGGTGTCACCTGGCCTCCAACCCCTTCCTGGGTTCTCATGTTACATGCTCAGGTATTCTCCTTCGGGCAGTCTCCCATCCCCCAATGCAGACTATCCTAGCCACACTCCCCTGTCAGCATTCACAGACCACAGTAAGAACAGCCCCAGTTCGTCACAGGGAGGTATTGCCAATATTGAGGAGGATCGAAATGCCATACAAGAAGATCTGGATGACCTTGTAAACTGGAGTAATAGAAATGGGATGATATTTAATAATGCAAAGTGCAAGGTCCTGCATTTAGGCCCCACCAAGAAGAATTTTTGCTATAAGCTGGGGACGGATCAGTTGGAAGGGCCAGAGGAGGAGAAAGACCTGGGTGTATTGGTTGATCACAGGATGACTATGAGCCGCCAATGTGATGCAGCCATGAAAAAGGCTAATGCGGTCCTAGGCTGTATCAGGTGAGGTATTTCCAGTAGAGACAGGGCAGTGTTAATACCATTATACAAGGCACTGATGAGACCTCGTCTGGAGTATTTTGTGCAATTCTGGTCTCCTATGTTTAAGAAAGATTAATTCAAACTGGAACAGGTGCAGAGAACGGCCTCTAGGATGCTCTGAGGAATGGAAAAATCTACCTTATGAGAGAAGACTCAAAGAGCTTGGCTTGTTTGGTCTAACCAATAGAAGGCTGAGAGGAGATATGATTGCTTTGTATCAATACATCAGAGGGATAAATACCAGGGAGGGAGAGGAGTTATTTAAGTTAAGCATCAGTGTGGACCCCAGAACAAATATAAAATGGGCATCAACAAGGTTAGGCTTGACATTAGAAGAAGGTTTCTAACTATCAGAGGAGTGAAGTTCTGGAGCAGCCTCCCAACGGGAGCAGTGGGGGCAAAAATTCTAACTGGCTTCAAGACTGATCTTGATAAGTTTATGGAGGGGATGATATGCCAGGACTGCCTACAATGGCGTGTGACCCATCGGCGACTGCCTGTAGCAAAAATCCGCAATGGCTGGAGACAGGACACTAGATGGGGAGGGCTCTGAGTTACTACATAGAATTCTTTCCCAGGTGGGTCTTGTCCACGTGCTCAGGGTCTAACCGATCACCATACTTGGGCACGGGAAGGAATTTTCCCTAGGGTCAGATTGGCAGAGACCTTGGGGTGTTTTCACCTTCCTCTGCAGCAGGCGGCACAGGTCACTTTCAGGTTTAAACTAGTGTCAATGGTGGATTCTCTGTAACTTGAAGTCTTTAAACCATGATTTGAGGACTTCCGTAGCTCAGCCAGGGGTTAGGGGTCTATTACAGAAGTGCGTGGGTGGGGTTCTGTGGCCTACGATGTGCAGGAGCTCAGACTAGACGATCATGATGGTCCCTTCTGACTTTACTAAGAGTATCTGAGTAAGAATAGATATCACAATTTTAAACCTAACCAGTGTCCCATGAGTGACTTGCCACAAGAGGTCAGAACATGTTAGTATTAGAGCTGAGTGGGTCTAAAGTTTATTTAATTTCTTTTTTGATCTAGGAATTAGATACAGTGCGCCTGTCAGAGATTTCTAAGCTGTTATCTGAAAAAAACCCTAGCATTTTCAGTTGCCTAAGTAACCCCTGGAATCACGGTTAAAATTGCCCCTGCTCCCAAAAATCTAAAATGGTGCCCCTGTGGGCACGGAATTCCTCCCCCCGCCACGTTGGCCAGGCTGAAGCCGCCCCCCTCCCCCCCGCCAATAGAGAAGTCAAACTAGCCTATGGCCCCACAAGCCTGAGCCCCAGAGCCCTGCACGGCAGAAGCCCCGAGATCCCCCCTCCCGCGGCTTAAGCCCAGAGCCCCAAGCCCCCAGCCTC